AGGCATTGACCACTCTGTTGCTGAAGTCGTATTTTCTGCAATCGAGTTTGGAGCGGTTTACCTTACGTTTGTGTGCTTGTGTGTTGTTGTGGTTGAAGCTGAAATAGTCATTGATAGGTAGGACATTGTAGCAGGTAATTTTATGTATTACGCTCAGGTCAAACCGAAGGCGGTGTAGTTCTAAGTTGTCTAAGCCCCAAATTTCAAGCCTAGTGGCGTAAGGATTCTGTTGCGAGTAGAGGAGGGGAGGATTCTTCTCGTGAAATATCTCTGGACTTGCTTGATTGTATTAATGTCCGATATGCAGTGCGGGTTCCAGACAGATGAGCTGTATTTGAGAATTGGTCTAGCAAAGGTTTTGTATGCTCTGGTTAGCAGTACAATATTACCAGAGAAGAAGGTATGCAAGATTAGGTTAACAACTCCATTGTGGTCATAAGTTGAGGACTACCTGTATACTCACAGTCACCACTGCAGAAATGAAAGTCCTTGTTAATGCTCCATTCCATGCTTTGTTCCTCTATTCTCAAAGGTTTTGCTGGCTCCTGCCTGGCTCGCTTCAGCACCATGCCTTTTATTTATTGCAACATCAACGAAGTGTGCTACTACGCCAGCCGCAACGATAAATCCTATTGGCTTTCCACCACCGCTCCGATACCTATGATGCCCGTCAGCAGCTACCAAATCGCCCAGTACATCAGTCGCTGCTCAGTGTGCGAAGCGCCATCTCAAGCTGTGGCTGTCCACAGCCAGGACATCACTATCCCACAATGTCCTGAAGGCTGGAGGAGTCTCTGGATAGGCTACTCTTTCCTCATGGTAAGAAGAAACCCAGAAGGGATGGCCACGTGTGGGAACGCGCATCCTTTTAGTGCATATGCACAGAGCGCCTTATCCATGCTCATGCCGTGGCCTGTCTTGTTCGGTGATCTTCAGGCCACCAGTGGCTCTTCCCAGTTGCCATTTAATGGCCATGTGAGCCCTTTCCTCATTCTATCACCAAAAATGGATTGCATTTTAGTGTCTATGAGGTTCTCAATCATCCATGGTTGTCCCAAAGGTCTTTTTCAAAAGGCAACTGGAGTTTCTTTGGGGGGGGGGGGTTTCCTGGACAAAGTTTTGCTTCTCATCCAAGAACTGGATGAGAATTCTGAAGAACTTCTTCAGAATGGGATGGGGAAGGAGCGGGAGGAGTAGGGGAATGGAAGGGCAGGGAAGAGGAAAAGAACGGGAAGGAGAAAGGGAGTGGAAGGAAGTAAATGGATGAGGAAGGAAAGGAAAGGGGGAAAGGAAAGGAAATATAACTGAAGAAGCTTGGATGAGAAATAAAATGTTTTCAAAATAAAAAACCAAGACCGACCAATTACCTTTGGGATGGCACTTCAATGCCTTTAATTTTGAGGTGAGTTCATTGTGTTAAATATTCAAAAAGGAAGCTTTGATGTTTGTTAGATTCTTTATCTTTTAAACTTTTCTAACTTGCCTGGCAACAGCCAATGAGGCTTTGAATAGCAGGGGAAACAAATAGCAATTTTTGCATGAACTTAGAATCATAGGGCTGGAAAGGACCTTGGAGGTCTCCTTCTCCAACCACCTCCTCAAGGCAGGAGACCTTATATCATCCTGGTCAAATGTTGGCTCAGTCTTTTTTTGAAAAACTCCAGTGATTCGAACTTGGCTGTGACTCTTGAAGCCAGTTGCCTGCCTTCAACTGTGCCATCCATCCTGATGGAAACTGGCCATGTGTAGTAGGGCAGTGTTGACTCAGATGTTTGCATTTGATCTTCTGTAGCACAGTTGATAGAATAGAATAGAATAGAATAGAACAGAACAAAATTCTTTATTGGCTAAGTGTGATTGGACACAAGCAATTTGTCTTTGGTGCAGATGCTCTCTGTGTACATAAAAAAATAAGATGCGTAATCATAGGGTACCAATAAGCAATCAGGAAACAATCAATATCAATATAAATCATAAGGATACAAGCAACAAAGTTACAGTCATAAGTGGGAGGAGATGGGTGATAGGAACGATGAGAAGACTAATAGTAATAGTAATGCAGCTTTAGTGAATAGTTTGACAGGAGTGAGGGTATTCTTTGTTTAGCAGAGTGATGGCGTTCGGGGAAAAACTGTTCTTGTGTCTAGTTGTCTTGGTATGCAGTGCTCTATACGATTCTTCGCACCAACATTCTTCTCTTGCTGGTGCTTTCTTTCAGCACACGGCTCCGGAAGGCGGTGGCCAGTCCTTGGTCTCTCCTGGATCCTGCCTGGAGGACTTCCGTGCCACACCTTTCATTGAGTGCAACGGTGCCCGAGGAACGTGCCACTACTTTTCCAATAAGTACAGCTTTTGGCTGACCACGGTGGAGGCGACCAATCAGTTTGCTGACTCTCCCGTCTCGGAAACACTGAAAGCGGGTCAGCTCCGGACACGGGTGGGACGGTGCCAAGTCTGCATGAAAAATTTGTAGCCAAGGCCTGGACGTCAGACCTTATTCCTCTTAAGACCAAGAAATTAGCATTTGTGTCCCACCTGGGCAATTGACATCTTCCCAAATCTCCCCACATACAGATTTCCTCCTCTAACCATCAAAATATGGTGCTATCTTTCCCCCTTGTTTTTAATCTTCCTGGCTACCTCAAAGTCCTTTTCTGCCTTCCCAACCACCACATTCTTTTGGCTTTGATGAACTAAACTGATTTTCACAAGACACATACAGATTTCTTCTCAAGAATATGATTGTAAGGTCTTCCCGTGTTTAGGGTTTAAGACATGTCAGGAATTTCACCAATGTTTTTTCCTGCATGCACGCACTCCTCCTCTAACCATGTTCCTCATTCATATTCATCTTAAGTTAGCTGCTTATTTTTAGGCCTAAAAAAACATAGTTAGCTGTCTAAAAGTGTATCTGTTCTTCGATCCGTGGTATGATCAGATTTGAAGGTTCCGGTTTGTGAAATAGTTAGCTGCATTGATCAATGCCTGCCTGGCAATCTATTAAACAGTGAAGTGACAATAAAATAAACTTGTTAGGAGAGGAAAATATTGGGATTTTAGGCCTATTAGGAGGATGATAATGTGCATCTTTTGAAGATTTTTTTTATGGTGATGATGCAATTTGATTTCACCTGCTTGATTATTCAGCCCAAGAATGCTAATCTAACATTGTTGCTACTCTGCGTAATGTTTTCCTACGAATGTTTCAGAACCTCTCTGCTTATTTGTTAATGTGCCACAAGTAGCATTCTTTGTGGCATCCAATGGTGCTAGTCAGAAGCCCTCTTGAACATGGCAAATCATGGCTCAGATGCCAAAGTATAACTTGAATTTATCTGATGAGGCCGCTCCTTCCTTTCTGTGCTGGGACATGTGAATGCTTTCTGGGCTCATGAATCCGTGTTTCATGTTGCATCCAGACTGAGAAACCGTAGGTGGGCAGCAAACCAACTTGAAGTAATGGTTGCAAATTGTTAATGTGTTCCACTCTTGATAACAATCATCCCTCGGCTTGGTCATAACTATGGTTAATTAACCAACAGAAGAATTCTTCAGATCGGGTGAAGTAAGAAGGAAGGGGAATGGCAGAGATCCAGCACGTAGGATCACTCAAAGAAGTTAGATGCAGAATTCACCCTGGTGGATAAGGAAGCAACTGAACATATTAAGATGATTTACCAAAGGAAACTTTTGTTAAAAACTGCTTATTAGAAAGGTTGAAGGGTACCTCCTGGAGCCAAGGTGGCGCAGTGGTTAAATGCAGCACTGCAGGCTACTGCTAGATCAGCAGGTCAGCGGTTCAAATCTCACCGGCTCAGGGTTNGAACAATGTTGCTTCCTGCAAAGGCTCAGGTGCCTTTGCTCCTCCTTTGTGTCCTATGGGAAGGGCCAATCACCTCCAAGCCTTACTCCCGAGTTGCCCCTTTTGTCTTAACTGTTCTTGCCTTCTGACAGCTCTGCGCATGCGTGCACTGGGAACAGGCTTCCCCGTTCCTCTGCCTCACTGATGTCTGACTCTGGAGGCTCTGGGGATAGCACATAACTCCCAGATGGCCTTGGCCCCCTCTCTGCCTCCAACGCAGAGCCCTCGTCCGAGCCTTCCCCAGACTCTAGGGCTGACCCATATTCTTCCCCAACCTCCTCACTATCTGACTCTGCCACCAGCTCCGCAGGTCGTCGGCAGACCACAACACCCTATCACAATACTTACTAAAGCTACAGAGGGATCGAGATTCATTATCTTCATCCGGTGGGGGGCTTGCTGGCAGTGGAAGCTATGGTCATCAACTGCACCACTCTCATCCGAATCTACAAAGACCTGAGTGGTGTGAGGGTCCAGGTAGATCAATTCATTTCCTACAAGAAAGAAGAAATAAAGGGGTTGGGTAGCCATGAGGGGAACTGAAAACCAGGCAGCTTTGCACTGCAGTTGTCCACCTAAACTCCAGGATCTGCTACGGTCCCAAATCTGGATTTCCATACAAAGGGAGGGGGAGCTTCATTCTTCAAATCAAGTCCTAAAGTACTCCTCTCTCCAGCTAAGAAACAAGCTGAGATGAACATGGCTTGTGTGATTCTTCCCTACAAGGCCCGAGGCTGTGGGGAATAGACTGGATTCCAATCTTCAGTATAAGCTCATTACTGTGATTTCTCTTTTCCCATGGAGTTCTTCTCATTTGCTACTTCAGGTTTCAAAGAATTCTTCAATAGAACTACTGCAACAGCTCCGTTTTTCCTTACCCAGAAATCCTATAAAGTAGTAGGCATTGTTTGGTTTTCCTCCTAAAGCTCCTAAAGATTGTGGCATCTTAAAGCATTCCTAAAGATCCAAAGGAGAAAGAAAAAAAATACATTTACTGTCCCACAAATATACTGTTTGTACTTCTTTCCTTCAGCAACGGAATTCAAGGCAGCTTATTACCTAGTTCCTTCGGGGTCAAAATCTGCTTATTTTGAGCTAGACCAGGACCAGTAAGGCACTACCCTCACCTGTTTTCTAAAGAAAGATATTCAAATCACAGAATTACAGAGGCTTGACATTTCTGTTTTCCTGGAAAAATAAGTTGGAAAATAGATGCCTTAAGCTCCTGGCTGGCTTCTCACATCTATTTAGTTGGGATCTGCCCACACCAGGGGTGGGATTCAGCCAGTTTGCACTGGTTGGGGTTAGGGTATGGGTTAGGGTGTTAATTTTGCATCCAGTTTGCCGAACTGGTTGTTTCAAGAATCAGCTGCCCCCCCACCCCCATCCCTACCCTCCCTGGAGTCTCCACGTGGCCCGTTCATCATGCCAGGTAAGTGCAGGGCCCACACGGAGGCTCTGGGAGGGCAAAAACTGAGCCTCCCAGAAGCCTGGAAATGGGCCCATTTCCAGCCTCTGGAGCCCAAGGGAAGGCCATGTTCGCCCTCCTGGAGGCTTGGGGAAAGCCGCTGGAGTCTGGGAAGGGCGAAAACACACACACACACCGCTGTAGTGCAGAAGGCCATGCCCACCACGCCCTCAGAAACTGGGCAGAGAACCAGTTGCTAACATTTTTCAATACCAGCCCCCAAATCCTGCCAAAAAGCCAAAGAAAGAGCTGAACATTATAACCTGCCATGTCTGCAGAAAGCAGAAATAAATTACATTTCCCAGTTGCAAAAATGTCACCAGCCTCCGAACTACACTATTGCTTAACTATGAGTATGTATCTGTGGTAAAGGAGAAGTCAAAGATATCACACGTGTCTTATTGCACTGTGAGTTACACAGTGCTTTTAGGTCAATGCATATTCTTTCTCCCCTTTCTAGAGAGATTACCAGGGAGAGCAGACAGTTTTTAATGTAGACTGTCTCCTCCGGGACACCACCTCAGCTACTACGCTTGCAGTAGCAAAATTCTTTGCTGCTGCAATGACCACAAGGAAAAATTCAGTTACAGGACTAAAGATGTTTTCTTGTACCAATTTTTCGTAACAATCTCGAACAATTTTTAGAGAATCTATATTTATACTCATAAAGGTAAAGGTTCCCCTCGCACATATGTGCTAGTCGTTCCTGACTCTAGGGGGCAGTTCTCATTCCGTTTCAAAGCCAAAGAGCCAGCGCTGCTCAAAGACGTCTCCGTGGTCATGTGGCCGGCATGACTAAATGCTGAAGGCGCATGGAACGTTGTTACCTTTCCCACCAAAGGTAGTTCCTATTTTTCTACTTGCATTTTTGTATGCTTTTGGACTGCTAGGGTGGCAGAAGCTGGGACAAGTAATGGGAGCTCATTCCGTTATGCAACGCTAGGGATTCGAACCGCCGACTTTTCTGATCGCCAAGCTTAACGTCTTAGCCACTGAGCCATTGTGTCCCTTATGCTCATACCTATCCACTTATCCATCAAGTACACATGGGCACGATCCAAACTGCATGATATAATGTGTGTTATTGTTATGGATGTTACTATTTACTATTGTTATTGATATGATCTTTTAATATTATTGTAAACAGATTCTTGTCTTTTGCTGATCGGTGACCGTGATAAAGTATACATATTACTTTACTGTGCATTCAGAATATAAAGAAGGATAGTGTGTATTAGAAATTAAGCAATAAAGAGCTAATGGAACCTCAGAATTAACTTAAAGCTGTGTATTTTAAAGATGGCCTAAATTCTGATACAATTTCAGCATTTTCATGAAATGGTGGCACAGTGGTTAGAATGCAGTACTGCAGGCTACTTCTGCTGACTGCCGACTGACTGCAATTTGGCAGTTCAAATCTCACCGACTCAGGTTTGACTCAGCCTTCCATCTTTCTGAGGTCAGTAAAATGAGGATCCAGATTGTTAGGGGTGACATGCTGACTCTGTAAACCACTTAGACAGGGCTGTAAAGCACTGTGAAGCAGTATATAATATCTAAGTGCTTTTGCTAGCGCTAAGTAAAACCACGATCAGATACGTTCATTTTTCTAGTACAGATAATCCTCAACCTACAACAGTTTGTTTGGTGACCAAACTTATAACAGTACTGAAAAAAGTGACTTATCAACCATTTTTCACATTTACAACCATTGCAGCATCCCCATGGTCACAAGAACGAAATTCAGATGCTTGGCAACTGATTCATATTTATGACGGTTGCAGTGTCCCGTGTTCATGTGATCCCCTTTTGCGACCTTCTGATAAGCAAAGTCAATGGGGAAGCCAGATTCACTTAACAGCCATCTTACTGACTTAACAGCTGCAGGGATTAACAACAGTGGCAAGAAAGGTTTGCAAAATGGGGCAAAATTCACTGGCTTGGCATCAGAAAATTTTGAACTAAGTAGAGGTTGTAAGTTGAGGACTGCCTATATCAATTACTACTCTGGACCATCCAGGTGATTTCAATGTTTTCATGGTTATTCTTATGACATGTGTGTTTCAGTGGTGGGATTCAAAAAAATTTACTACCGGCTCTGTGAGCCTGGCTTGATAGGGGTGGCATGGCTTGGTGAGCGTGGCAGGGGAAGGATACTGTAAAATCCCCATTCCCTCCCGATCAGCTGGGACTCGGGAGGCAGAGAAGAGATGGGGCGGGGCCAGCCAGAGGCAGTATTTACTGGTTCTCCGAACTACTCAAAATCTCCGCTTCCGGTTCTCCAGAATTGGTCAGAACCTGCTAAATGCCACCTCTGGTGTGTTTGTGTGTGCATGCCCATACCTATATGTGTGTGTCTGTGTCTAATAAAACAATTGATCTCTTATGGCTGAGATCCTTCCTTAAGCCAACCAGCTCCTCCACAACTTCTGCCATAGAGCTCTACCTTAAAAGCGTCGACATAAACCGGATTGATGTGGTTTATCCCCAGGCGAAGGGGCACGATCAGCAACAGAGGCTTCCAACTGCCACCGGGAGCTCCCAGGGTCTTGGCTGGGTTGACGGAGCTCCTATAGGACAGTGAACTGCAGTGAGACCTGGGGCAACCCTGGGGTGGGGCCCGGCACATTTTTTCTGGGAAAAAAGATAGAAAAAAGAAAGAAAGAAAAGAAACCCTTATTCCTCAATTCCCTATTATTTTGTCAGTGGCCAAAGAATATTACCTTGCAATTAGAAATATTTTCAGCATATATCCCAGTTTATGAAGAAAATAAAACTGAAACAGACCGCTCCACTCATTTGTGAAATGTGAGAAATTCCATATTCACAGAGATTTGTTGGTTAGGACAAACCCTCTTTTTTGCAGAAAGAACCCAGAATTAAGAAAATTGTAGTGGTTCTCCCTACAATTAAGGAAGTCAGGAAAGCTATGAATATCAAACAGATGCATTTTAAGACTTGGATAAATAAGGAGAGTCTGTTTATGTTACTGTTTACATGTTCTATGTGGGGTGAACCTTAGTTTAAGAAAGATAAAGGTTCCCTACGGACATATTTCACAAAGGTGAAAAATAATAGGCTTCATCCTGGTAACTCTATTCTTCTATTGTTCCCAGTTTGTTATAAGCTAAATCCTTTTAAACAAGGATTTTAAAAAGGAATTTTAATTCAGGTAAAAGATAAAGGTTCCCCTCGCACATATATGCTAGCCGTTAGTGACTCTAGGGGGTGGTGTTCATTTCCATTTCAAAGCCAAAGAGCCAACACTGTCCGAAGACATCTCCATGGTCATGTGACTGGCATGACTAAACGCTGAAGGTGCACAGAACACTGTTACCTTCCCACCAAAGGTTCCTATTTTTCCACTTGCATTTTTTACATGTTTTTGAACTGCTAAGTTGGCAGAAGCTGGGACAAGTAATGGGAGCTCACTCCGTTATGCGGCACTAGGGATTGGAACTGCTTTTCTGATTGACAAGCTCAGCGTCTTAGCCACTGAGCCACCACGTCCTTTTTAATTTAGGTAACTACAGACAATATTTTCCAGATCGCATTTGATCACTGGAGCCAGAGATTTATTCTTCCGAGCTTTGACACTCATGTTTTTCCTTTTCGTGATTCTATATGAGGCTTCAAAATGAAAGTGAATTCAAACTTGCTCAGGTTCTGATGATGATTAAAAACTTACTGATATCTTCAATCACTACCGTGTTGTCCATAGACACGTAAACAGCTAAGGAATTCCATTCATCAAAGAGTGCAAGTTTCCTGAACAAAGCAAGACAGCAGTTAGTCAAAAAGCGTGCGCGATGCAAGTAACCCTCAAAGTTCAACAACGATTGAGCTCAGAATTTATGTTGCTAAATGGGAAATTTAATACATGAGTTTTGTCACATTTTACGACTTTTCTTGCCACATTTGTTAATCACTGCAGTTGTTAAATTAGTAACACGGTTGTTAATCCCAAAGGGTACAAGACAAGGATGTCCTTTGTCTCCTTTGCTGCTTATCCTGATGTTGGAAGTTTTGAATAGGGATATCAGGAAAAATGGGAAAAGTAAGAGGCATAAACATTAAGAAGGAAGTGTCAAAACTGAAGGATTTGGTGATATTTCTGCAAGACCCCAAAAATAATATAGAATATTTGATGAGGAAATTAAACAAGTTTGGGTTTTTAGCAGGTTTTCAAATAAACAAGCAGAAAACTTTTCTCTTCCCTAACTTCCTTATTTACTTTTGCATTTTCTTTGCATGCTATATTATAAACTTTTAAAAAATGTTAAAGGAAAACATAAACACAATGTATAAATATTCTGCATACTTATAACCCAAACTATAAAGCTTGAAGTAACCACTTAAAGTTGCCTTCCTTAAGATGGCATTTTCCAGAAGTACCATATTTTTGGGAGTATAAGACGCACCTTTTCCCCTCAAAAAAGAGGTTGAAAATCTGGGTGTGTCTTATACACTGAATACAGAATTTTTTGCCTCCCGAANAATATGCTGACTCTCTGTAAACCGCTTAGAGAGGCCTGAAAGGCCTATGAAGCGGTATATAAGTCTACTGCTATTGCTATTGCTATTGCTATTGCTACAATTCTTTTGGCTACGAATACTGAAAGTAGGAAAGTCTTAGTTTACATCTCTTAAGTTATCCTGGTATTCTAGCCAGGAAGGAGTGGATTAGTAAATTGGCATGTTTTCTAACATCTCTCAGATCTTAACTCTATGATCCTTGTTTGTCCATAACTGCATGGCCGAGCTGTGATCTACTAACTCTGTCTTTGCTCACCTCCTTGAGTAATGTCCGCCCTGCTTAACCCTCCTTTGGTTCTACATTATAATTATCTGGTCTTTTTTTCTTTCTACAAGCTGTTTTTACAGCCTTAGCCGATCTGTTTCCACCTGGAGAATGGGTCAACACAATTACCTTGAAGACTAGCTTAATTCTTTAATAGCCTACTGATATTCATGTTATACAAATGTTCTTAGACTTTATACAGCCTTAAGATGTTGATCCATGAATAATCCACTATTACAGATGTTGGCATAGGTCATAGGACCTTTATGTTTATATAGCAGACATATTACTCCATTTGCAATAGCTGTACAAGCTGGAGCAAGTTACTAATCTTTAACTAAAAGAGTTTCAAAGATCATTACTTCAACTCTCTGTGCTCTAGTTGTACATGGAGAGGAGAAAAGTCACCTGCTGATTATTCAGTTGCATGTCCTGGATTTCATTTCCACAATATTTTTTTTGGAGGTAGCTTTGGAATTGCTGGTGCTTGAAATAATTAATGTAGTATTAAATAGGTTACTTTTATGTAAATGTAACACTGAGTAGAAGTTGGATGAACTGACTCATCTGCCAATATTACGGTTTTCTTGATTTTATTTTTACTAGTCTTGCATTTTGTAATGCACTGCTGAAAGTATCTTCAGAGCACTGATTATATTTTGACTCTTTATTTTTTCCCCTAAAAAGTAGTAAAACAGCACATCTGTTTTGTGAGTTATATTCCATTGCCTCCTTACAATAAGCTTGGTAACTCTCTCCAGGCACGTTACTCAACTTGTATAAGTTGTCAAGTGGATTTATACTAAGCTTTGGTGACCAAAATAGAATTGAGTTAGAAAGGACCCCAGAGATCATGTAGTCCAACTTTCTTCAGTGGCCAAAAACACTAATTAAATTATCAGCAACAGTTTGTTATCCATCCTCATATAAACCTCCAGGACTTTTAGGTCTTGATCAAAAGAGAAGGCAATTTTCAGAGATAATGCTCAGATTTAAATAGACTTTGAAAGAAATTTTTGAATGCGTAAAACAGAAATTAGGCTTAAGTGGAGGCCCAGTTCTACATGACTATATCAATCAAACCAACCCAGAAAAGAATATCAGCAAATGTCTTTGCTGTTTTTTTTGTTTATATTCAGAAGTAGTTGTTGTTGTTTTTTGTTCCCATGTACATCTCTGTCTCGAGTTGCAACAATTTGGGGAACAAAAATTATCCCCATAACCATAATGTAGGTTTTTTTAAAAAAAAATCCACTCCTTTATAAATAAAGGATCAACTCTTTAAAGCTCATGAATAGCTCTACAAATGCTATCTTCTGCCCACAATTATATTAATTTCTCCCAAATATACAGACATTGTTGACTCTTGGTGGCCAATTCTTGGCAAGTCCCATATTTTGAAAGTAGAGATAGTCTTTTGACTTATGAGCACAATTGGGACTGGACCTTCTGTTGCTAAGTCACATCCAATTTTATTGTCTGCCAAAGCAGCTAATAAACAATTTTATTATTGTTTATTAGCTGCTTGGCTAAATGGCGAACATGTGATCTCCGGACACAGCAACTGTCATAAATCCCTGCTGGTTGCCAAGCACCTTATTGCAATCATGTGACTGCAGGAACACTGCAATGTCAGAAGTGCCAGGACTGGTAATACATTCCATTTTTCAGCACCACTGAAACTTTGAACAGTGATGAGCTGAACAAACAATCATAAGAAATGATACAGTTATGCAAAATGCTGATGTGGTCAAACACCACTGGACATCACTAGGTCTGAAGACTACAAGTGGTCCTCAACTTACAATCACAACCGGGAACAGAATTCCAGTTGCTAAGGCAATCAGTTGTGCCTGATTTTATGACCTTTTTTTTTGCCACGGTTGTTAAGCAGATCATTGCAGTTAAATGAATCACACGGCGGTTGAATGAATCCTGTTTGCCCTGCTGATTTGTCAGAAGACACCTGGAAAGGTCTCATAATCCTGGGGTGCTGTAACCATCACAAATACAGGTAGTCCTCAACTTGCAATAGTTCACTTAGTGACGGCACTTTAAAAAAGCGACTTACGACCATTTTTCACACTTATGGCCTCTGCAGCAGCCCCAACATCACGTGATTTACATTTTGATGCTGGATAACTGGTTCATGTTTATGACAGCTGCTGTGTCCTGTGATCACCTGACCCCCTTTTGCAATCTTCTGACAAGCAGAGACAATGGGGAAGCCAGATTCACTTAACAACAGCAGGGATTCCCATAACAAACATGGCAGGGGAAGTCGTAAAATGGAGCAAAACTCACTTTAATGAATTTCTCCTTAACAACATAAATTTAAGGCTCAATTGTGTGGTCATAAATTGAGGACTACCTGTACCTGCTGCTTGCCAGGTGCCCAGATTTTGCAACCCTGAAGATGTTGCCATGATTGTAAATGTGAATATCTGTTGTAAGGCAATTTTTTCAGTGCCATTGTAACTTTGAAGTAAACGAATGATTGCAAGTTGAGGTCTACCTATACATGCAAACTCCCACCAATGAGGCATTGGATTCTGCATATGGCAATGGCATAGCTAATGCAATTTTTTAATCTGCCAGTGTAGTGATGGTTAATGTAATTTTTCACCTATGTGGCCACGTGTTGTGGAGTGAATATTACACACACATAACTATATCAGGGTAGAAAACAATCAGAAAACTGAGACCAGCAATTTTTATTTTGATATATACCCTTCTCTGGTTCTTAAAAAGCTCCAACTACCCAAACTGGCATCCAACCTATTCAATGGTTAAGAAATGAGATGCACAAATAAAGTGCTCTTAACAAGGGGAAACATGTAAATGTTTAATTTAAAATAAATAAGATACAGTTGAAACAAAAAACATGTTTTCTTTTACTCAGGAGCAAAAGAGGTTTAATAATGATTTGAAATGAAAGTCAAAGTGAAAAAGGGGGTCATCATAATTATAAAGAGACCTTCTGTATGTTGCAAGAACACGGGAGGAGTTGAAAGGTTGCCTTCCAAGTCCTCTGCTTATTAATGTATTTCCTAGAAACAAGAAACTTTTTTTTTCCTGAAAAATTGCACATTTTATACGCGTCCTTCCATTAAAAACACTTTTTCGAGGGGGGGTGGGGGGTTTCCAAGTGCAGTGGCAAAGAAATGTGAAGAGATTGAATAAAAGCACGGGGTTTTCCCCGAATCGTTGAAAAAGGAAACAAGGCAATGACATTGACGCCTAAAAAAAATTGTCCATGCGAAGGAACAAGAGGTGAATGTTCTCTTCGCACAAGGTCATGCCTTCCGCGTGAGCAAAGCTATTGCATTATATTATAATTACCATCCAGCTGTTGTTGAGGCTGGCAAGACTGTTCCCAGCAATACGACGAGCCAGTTTTTGCTTTTGGGTTTTCCGAGAGCTCTTCTTCAAACAAGGTTCTTTCCTTGGGGAACNGTGGGGAGGAAATGGGGATTTTGCAGTATCCTTCCCCTGGAGTGGGGAGGGAATGGAGAATTTGCAGTATCCTTCCCTTGCCACGCGCACCAAGCCAGGCCCACAGAACCGGTAGTAAGAAACTTTTGAACCCACCACTGCTCCAGCCCCCAGCCTTAGTAGAAGCCGAGATGGGAATGGGTATGATACCACTGTGGTATGACAGTGATATCACACAATGGACGGATATTCCCAAACTGCCTGCTGGGCCTTGCAAGGGAGAGATGCCTCCCTAAAGTTCACTTGGTCTCCTACAAAATGCTTTATGGTGGGCTGCCTTTGAAATGTGCAGACGGTTAATCTCAGGCTCTTCAGCAGAAATGGGAAACGTGGGGTTTCACAATTTCAGGGCAACCCGTCCGTTTCAAGAGACAACTGAAACCGCTCACAATCAGCTCTAAAGCTGCACATCATGTGTGACCGTAGTGTTTCAGAGACCGGATCCTCCCTTTCGAAACTCTGCCCAGATTTTAAGAACTGAATAAAGAAGGCAGCTGGACTGCCACACTGACACAACAGGTGTATTTGGCAGGAATATTAGAGGACCTCTTGCAAACACTGGAGCTTCCTTGCAAGCAAAATCAACTAACGAGAATGCTGTTATTCAGATAAACTTTGGATTTTTTTGAAGTTTCGTGAGGTCCATTTTAACTGGCAGATGGTGATTTAATTTCAAGACACGAGTTTTCAACTTTTGCTTTCTGCTTTGACTGCAATTGTATATTTTCTCTTACATTTTAACCCAGCAACAAGAGCCAAGAGGAATACAACAACCAAACTACTGTGATTGTAACCATGGTTTAGCATAATGTGCAAATTTAGTTTTTTTGTGAGTGTATGCTTTCAAGTCATTCTTGACTCCTGGATAAGTCCCTGCAATTTTCTTGGCAAATTTTTTGAAAGTAGCTTGCCATTGCCGTTTTCTAGGGCTCAGAGAGAATGACTGGCCAAAGTCACCCAATTGGCTTTGTGCCTACGGGAGGACTAGAACTCACGGTCTCACTACACATCCATTAAAATTGTTACGACTTTGCTTGGTTTGATTCCATGCTGACACTGTGAGGATCTCCCTAGTATGACATCAGCATTGGCTTCTCTTTTGCCCAAATTCTTCTGTTTTGTTTTTTTTTAACTTTGTATTTCTGCCAACATTTGTCTTTATTTCACCACCAGATGGGATTTTGCCTTAATCTAACACTCTCCAAATGATACAACAATTAGGACTACACATTGCTCTCAAATTCTGCACTTACCCATTTGATGAATTGAGTAACAGCAATCTTTTCTGTCCAGGAAGCAGCACAAAATCTTTTTATATTCTTCTGGTTGTTTTTTGTATTCCTCCCACTGCCAATCTGCAAGAAAAAATTATTAAAGATTTTAAATGTGATGTCACATTCCCACAAAGAACAAAAGAATTAAAGGTGATCGTTCAAAGAAAGAAATGTATATTGCAATCCTTCTTAGAAGACAGTCTGTTCTAATGACCTCTGTGGGATTTGCTAAGTGACCTGTAGTATCTTTGGGTGATAAAATACTCTGTGTGCACTTTCAGCCAATCCCACAGAGGTCATTAGAGCAGACTATCTTCTAAATAGGTGCCATAATGGAAAGGTCTATATGGCTGTGTTGCTATGGACAGCTACGTTATACTGGAAGAGCTCTGTAACCTCTTATGGGTTGGGTTGTTCTTCACTCATTTGCTTTAAAATAGCCATTCTCAATACCACTAGTCACTTAGTGGCCTTTCAAAGTTACAACAGATCTACCTACAACACTAACTTGAAGTTCTAATGGTCTCCCCCCTCTCTCACACACACACCATGCAGTTACATAACTAACTTTTAGGTGCTTGGCAATTGGGCCGCTTTTATGGCTGTTTATAATATCCCATGATGTTTTATGATGGTCTGGCCAAAAGCCAGCATTTACGTCCAATTTTTGGCAAAACCATGCCCTTAGTGAACCATTTGTTCATTTAACAACCATGGCATTCACTTAACAACTGCTATGGTCACTTTACAATTGCCCTGTTAGCTTAACAAGTGACAGATGAACTAATGAGGTCAGTCCATTACTATTAATATCATTTCATCTGCTATATTATTTTAGTTCTTTTTTTATAGTTTTTAAAAAAATGTGTTAATAATTATTTTAGATATTTTGTTCTGTTATACTCATTTCACAAGCGTCGCTTGTGAGATGGGCAGCTATATCAGATGATAGATAGACAGACAGACAGACAGACAGATAGAGGTGTGTGTGAGAGTGTGTGTGGGGGGGGGAGAGAGAGAGACTCTTACCTCTTCCCAAATGTTGACAGATCAGAGCCTGAGCCAACATCATCTGTCCACACCGCAACATGCAACCCCAGCCAGCATCTGACGAAGGACCTGTACCACCTTGGGAGTGAGAAGCAAACACTTAGTTTGTCATTAAAATGGAAGGCACAAAACTTGATGCTTCCTTGGATCAAGAGCCCAGGTTTTACCCCAGGGACCAAAAAGAATCTTTATCTGCCTGCTGCCATTTGTAACCAGGCCATTTCATTTTTGCCTGATGAAAAGCCAACGAAGAAGATCGAGGGCATTCACAAAAGGGAATGCTACGGTTTTTCTTTAAGCTGTGCTCCATAATCATCCTAAATTTGTAACCATGTCAGAGACATGAGCTGTAAATGTAGTGCCATTTTCAATTTCAACCATATATTCCCATCAGAAGCATACTTTGAGAAATAAAGAGAAATAATCCGGGGAAAGAAATCCCACCCCTCCCTGTGCATGATGTGGCCAAACCCCTCGTTTTCCAATCCATTTCCACGGCTTCCACCCAATTATCCTCAAATACGTTAAGTAAAGTTCCTGGCTATCCAAAGTGGCTCCTCTCTGATTAGGAATGGGTTCCGGCAGCGGCTACTGTCGGTTCGCTCATGGTTGCGAGCACATGTGCAATATTATAAAAATGCTCCTCTGCAGAAGGTGGTGCGAGTGAACGAAGAGAGCACGCTCACATTTGCAAACTGGTAGCGAAGATAAATGAATCCCACCACTGATAAGAGATAGTGATACTTTTAAATGGAAGGGGGAAAGCCAGCTGCAGCAATCCCAATATTTGCCCCCCACAGGAAAAACCTGTTTAAATGATCATAGCAGAGGTGGGTTGCTGTCGATTTGGCACGGATCGGGCAAACCGATAGTAGTGGTAGCGGGAGGCTCTGCCCCCCTGCCCGGATGTGTCGCACATGTGCAGGAGAGCACCCAAACCGGTAGTAAAAAAATTAGCAACCCACCTCTGGATTTATAGGCAATCCTCAATTTACAACCAGTCATTCAGTGACCATTTGAAGTTATAATGAGGCGCAGTGGTTAGAGTGTAGTACTGCAGGCTACTTCTGCTGATCACTGGCTGCCAGCAGTTTGACAGATGGAATCTCACCAGGCTCAAGGTTGATTCAGCCTTCCATCCTTCTGAGGTGGGTAAAATGGGGACCCAGATTGTTGGGGGCAATAGGCTGCTGACTCTGTAACCACTTAGAGAGGGCTGCNCAAGTAACGGGAGCTCACTCTGTTACGCGGCGCTAGGGATTCGAACTGCCGACCTTCTGATTCACAAGCTCAGCATCTTAGTCTCTGAGCCACTGCGGCCTTTTTGCTTAATGTTGACTTCACCCCAATTGATCCATTTTTTGATCCAGAAGAAATGGACAACAAGTTTGCTCAAGCAAGTGAGCAAACTTTGGCCTTGATTCCAAAAAGTTGCTTCAGAGCATGAAAGTAGCACCCACTCACAATTGCTGTCTCTCTTCCGAGGGGTATGCCACTGCTTTAAGGAGCTGCCATTCAGAAATTTACTCCCTGGGGACAAGTGTCCAAATAGGTCACTTCTAATCCTTGGGGATTTATTCACACCACATGCTAAAATTCAGTTTCTTTTGCAATCGGGCGCTTGGGCAAATGCAGGCAATGAATCAAGTCTGAGTTAAGGCTGTGAGAGCATATTGTGTGGACAAAGTAACACAGATCACAGCCGTGCAGCGCAATGGAGGGAAGGAGATCCCCATGAAACACCCTCTCTACCTGCTCCGGTGGTGGTGACTTCTGGTTTTGTGGGAGGTATGAAAGGGGGCCAGTGTGGTGGGTGCTTCTGAACCAGCTCAAACATTCGTAGACTCTGCTTCTTATGTATCTCCTGGGAGGGAAGAAATGCCATTTGTAAACTGCAGCCCTTAAAATGTATTAACCACTCAACCCTTCAAAAAGCCATACTGAATGTTCAACAGCTGGGGAATATAAACCATTCCTTCCTGTCCTTTCTATGTTAACCCTTTTTTACATTTTGTATGAAAAAATATAATCCAAAATTAAGTATTTATCACTTGAGCTATTTTTTGCATCAAAAGTTCAAATTCACTATGCTATTTACTTCTCATTCTTAAATACCAAATGAAAGGTATTAAAAGGCAGGGAACAAATGAATTTCCAGGCCAATGGAAACCCGTGTTTAGAAAGTAAGTTAAAGGTAAAAATCCCCCTCGCACATCTGTGCTAGCCGTTCCTGACTGTAGGGGGCAGTGCTCATGTGTTTCAAAGCTGAAGAGCCAGCNCCCTGAGTCCCCTCAGGGAAAAGGGCGGCATATAAATCCTCAATAAAAAATAAATCCAGTTGATCGGGAGGAAATGGGGATGTTGCATTATCCTTCCCCTGCCATGCCCACCAAGCCATGCCACGCCCACCAAGCCACGCCCACAGAACCAGGAGCAAATAAAATTGAATTTCACCACTGGTGTGCATGGGCTGTGTGGACATGCATGTGCGCCTGTGCAGACATGCGTGAATGTGCACAGGTCCAGACATTCACTTTCACTGACATGTACGCATATGCGCAGATATGCATGTATGTGCAGCAGAGAAGCGAAAACCAGCTGGCCAGCGGGACCGACAGCATGGCAAGAGGTAAGATCTTTTTCTTTTGTGAGTTTCTGTTTCCTCGTTTGTAGGGAAACAGAAGCTCGTGAAAGAAATGCCACCGAGATCTAGCCTGGGGCAATGGCACGTGTGCCATCAGAAAGGACTCTGCGTGCCACCTCTGTCATGTGTGCCATAGCTTCGCCATCACAGCTATAGGTAGTCCTCGACTTGCAACCTCAATGGAGTCCAAAAGTTCTTTGTTCAGTGAGTTTCACCCCATTTGACCACCTTTCTTGCCACAGTTGTTAAGGGAACCGCTGCAGTTCTGTTAGTTTCCTGTTAAGTTAGTAATAGTGTGGTTAAGTGAATCTATTTCCCCACTGACTCTGCTTGTCAGGAGGTTACAAAAAGGGAAACACATGACCCTGGGACACTGCAGCCGTCATAAATATGAACTGGTTGCCAAGCATCCAAATTTTGATTATGTGACCATGGGGATGCTGCAACGGTCATAAGTTTGAAAAATGGCCATAAGTCACTTTTCCCCCCAACCGTTGTAACGTTGGTCACTAAATGAACTGTTGTAAGTTGAGGACTACTTGTATGTGAGAAATTGGATGGAGAATGGCTGTTGGAAAGCAAATGAGTGAGGAATAAATCAACCCATCAGAGATTGCAGATGACCTCTCCCAGTATAACTTAGCTGATCACAAGAACACACCCTTACAGTCCTTTCTGTTATGGCAAAAATATGCCCTACAAGGTGTCGCAGATGCTTAATGTTGTAAAGGAAAAGGTTCCCTTCGCACATATGTGCTAGTCATTACCGGCTGAAGGGGCAGTGCTCATCTCCGTTTCAAAGCCGAAGAGCCAGCGCTATCCAAAGATGTCTCCGTGGTCTTGTGGCCAGCATGACTAAATGCCGAAGGCACATGGAACACNCAAATACGAGAGCCAATGTCCGAAAGAAGATTAGATTTTTCTAGAATTGAAAAAAGTAACGGCAGGTTAACACAAATAGCAATAGCCCTTAGACTTATATGCCGCTTTACAGCCCTAAGAGGTTTACAGAGTCAGCATCTTGCCCCCAACAACCTGGGTCCTCATTTTACCCACCTCAGAAGGACGGAAGGCTGAGTCAACCTGGAGTTTGGTGAGATTTGAACTGCCAAATTGAAGGCAGCTGGCAGTCAGCAGAAGTAGCCTGCAGTACTGCACTCTAACCACTGTGCCACCGAGGCTCACTTGGCATGAATATGGCATGAATACAAATGCTGTATTCATGCCATATTCTGAGCCAAGAAGACATTCAGGCATTCAAAAGAATTTCCCCCCAATTCCCTTTTCATATGTCAAAGGCAATGCAGTATCTGACAGTTCACTGTAGAAATGAGCTATTTTTCCTCCGCCTCTTGCTTAATTTGTCTCAATTAAAAGTATATCAGGCAAGTCTGAACTGGAATCTTGTCCTTCAGACCTGTGTTCTTCCTCAATCTGTTTTTTATTTTAAATGCCCTTATAATTAATACCTTGCATTATGCCTTCTTTCAAGGATTTCTACTCTTTCTAGAGATTGTCAGAGAAGTAATATGTAGCTTTTTAATTCCAAATTTACCTGTTTTCAGGTGGTGCTGTCTTCCTAAGATCCAGGTGGGCTCATCTGTCTCAGGAAGTTCTTCTAAATAATCTACTAAAATAAAGTAATAATAAACTAAATAAATAATCTAAAGTAATGCTCATATATTTTTAACTAGATACACATTTATCTGATTTACAGAATATATGTCCATAAACACATTTCTTCAACAATAGCAAGGGACGCAGTGGGCACAGTGGCTAAAATGCTGAGCTTGTCAATCCGAAAGGTCGGAGGTTTGGCGGTTCAAATCCCTAGCGCCACACAACAGAGTGAGCCCCTGTTACTTGTCCCAACCTAGCAGTTCAAAAGCATGTAAAAATGCAAGTAGAAAAAAAGGAACCACCGTTGGTAGGAAGGTAACAGCATTCCATGTGTCTTTGGTGTTAGTCATGCCAGCCACATGACCATGGAGACATCTTCGGACAGCGCTGGTTCTTCGGCTTTGAAATAGAGATGAGCACCGCCCCCTGGAGCTGGGAACGACTAGCACGCATGTGCGAGGGGAACCTTTACCTTTACCTAACAATAGCAATAGCACTTAAGACTTATATACAGCTTGACAGTGCTTTACAGCCCTCTAAGATGTTTACAGAGTAGCCTCCTTTCCCCAATAATCTAGGCCTCACTTTACCACCCTCGGAAAGATGGAAGACTAAGTCAACCTTGAGACATTCAGGATCGAACTGCTGGCAGTTGGCAGAATTAGCCTGCAATACTGCATTCTAACCACTGTGCCACCATGGTTCTTATGAAAAATATACAATTAAGATGTCAAATATCGTACTTTAAAATGGAACATCAAATAATTAAATATTAGATACAGAATTTGTTTTAGAACTAATCCCAGAACAGGCAACTTTTTCTACAACAGAGGATTTGCTCATTTGCTCTCTTTTTACATTTTGCATGTCACAGTAAATATTACAAATTAGTAACCATGGAAGAGACTTTGAGATGTGCATCCAAAATTCACAAGAATCACATGCAATCTTGCCCTGGATTGAGTTTCCTACATGCACTCAGATCTCATTTGCTTTTAAAAGATTGAAAGTAATTCCCCTTACACTTCGTCAGACAATGACCTTTGCTATTTGCTTGGCACAGTGTGACAATGATGAAAGTAGATCTATTTTGGCAAGAGCCAAATATTAAACAGTATGATCTATTTTGGGAAATGCTGGAGAAGACTCCTGCAAGTCCCTTGGACTGCAAGACGATCAAACTGGTCAGTCCTAGAGGAGATCAACCCTAACTGCTCTTTAGAAGGCCAGATCCTGAAGAGGAAACTCAAATACTTTAGCCACCTAATGAAGGACTCCCTGGAGAAAAGCCTAATGCTGGGAACGATTGAGGCCAAAAGTAGAAGGGAACGACAGAGAATGAGGTGGCTGGATGGAGTCACCGAAGCAGTTTGCGTAAGCTTAAATGGACTCCGAGGGATGGTAGAGGACAGAAAGGCCTGGAGGAACATGATCCATGGGGTTGTGATGGGTTGGACATGACTTCGTAACTAACAACAACAATTCTTTGAACCCAAATCCCCAACTGCCTAGAAGGGCTAAAAGAGATTGCGTCAAAGTCAGTTCCTTCTTCTAATTCCTCCCCAGTTGCAGCATATAACCAACACAGCTACCCCCTTGGAAAGGGGTACGGAGCTGGAAGAGATGTTAGGGAAACTGTGTGGATGTTTAACATTCCCATTTTCCCTCCCTTAGTTTAGCAAAACCAAAGGAACCTCAGGAATTGATATAAGCTGAAATCTAAAGTGGAATTAAATACACTGATTAATACTGCTTTGAGTTTGTCTACGGAAATTCTCAACCATCCAGGTTTTGGTGGTCCTAAAAGTGCTTTTTCCAAAAGGCAACTGGACTTTCTTAGGGTTTTTTCCCCTTTGAAAATGTTTCACTTTCTCATCCAAGAAGCGTCTTTAGTTCTGACTAATGGGGAATCATTTTCAAAGAAAAAAAACCAAGAAAGTCCAGTTGCCTTTTAGAAAAAAGACTTTTGGAACTGTTTTGAGTTCTTTCCACCAAGTAAACAAAACCAAATAATTTAAAGAGATGAAAAATGGCCTCAAAGAGTCCTCTGAAACCCAAAATGCTTTAAAAGGATAAAGGAGTTTGCCTTTTATTTTCAGCATACTCCTTTGCAAAGCCTAAATCCAGAGTCCTAAGACTTCCAACTACTAGAGTATGTGCTGAGATCCTAGAGGCTTAATTCAAGTCTCAGTAGTACCAGTAATAAAATATATTTTGAAAGCGGTGGAGTTTTTTTTAATGCTGAAAGAATGTGACATGTAGCTTGCATATTATCATTAATAGAACGAGCTTCTTGGAAGGCGTTCAAGAGAGTAATAAGGTTGCGTCAATAAAGTAAAAACAATGTGGACATTTTAGATTTGAATTCCTCATGCTTGAAAATATGTTTATGCTGCTCCTTGCAAGTTCAGATTGACGCTACACCAAGGATCATGATATCATCCATGAGCTAAGCTTTGACCCATTAATATCTTCCAGGAAAACCATCCAGATTAGGCTCCCATTTGCCAAGTGCCAATTATTTTTCCAACAAGGAAGGAAGCATTCTAAATGTTCATATTTCAGCTTTAAAAAATGATCTTGTCTCAAGCATGTAGATAAAATTCTCATAATTCATGCACCACAATGCCAAGAGGCAGGGTTGGCTCCTTGCTTTCATCTATCACTAGGATTGATGGCACAAATAATGCCTCCAGCAGTAGAATCCAATAAATGGTTACTTAAGAAGTGCCAAACATTTAAGCTATATATAAACCTTATGCAATAGCCCAACTCCCTGTATTGGCCAGCCAAGAGAATCAGTTTTCCCCTATGACCTCTGTGGTAGTTTCTAGAGCATTTGAGGAATTACCCCTATCTCCCCGCCCCTGAGGGTCTACAAGGAACGAGGGATAAAGCATGTGTCACAACATGAACTTTGCTCCTCAGAAGATCTTTTGTACTTGAGAGACAAATACAAAAGGCCAGAGCTTGGGGTCATGACTCTACAATTCCCAATTTCTGACCTAGGCTTCCCGAGAAGGCATAAATCACAATCTTAGTCCCAAAACCCCCTTTTTTATTTATACGGCTGTGAATTATGGTCATTCATAGTCTGCAGGGCTTCACAAACAGTCTGTGAAGGTTCCAACAGATGTCTGCTCGAGTTGCCACAGTCTTTCAGGGGAATGTTGATAAACACCCACCTTATCTCCCTTGAAACGCTGCCAGACCTAATTTCCAAATGCAGAGCAAGGCCAAACTCAGCACAGAGTCAAACAGAACTTCTCAAAGCTTGAACTGACCAGTTGAACTAATTGCTTTCTGCAAAGGCTCATGTCCCGTTCGCTCCTCTTTTATGTCTTATGGGAGGGGCCAATCATCTCCAAGCCTTGCTCTCGAGTCAACCCTGTTTTCTTAATTGTTCTTGCCTTCTGGCAGTTCTACGCATGCACACATTGG